GCGTTCGTCTACGTCACGCTTGGCTTGGCGCTACTATCCACGTTGCCAACTTGACGAAATGTATAGCCAAAATAAGCCTACAAATCTTGAAAATCACTGCATACCCCCACCAACTATTGGTCCCCACCATGGTCGCGTCGTCCCCACTTTCCGGCGTGCACGGGAAGATACGAGATCCCTGAATTTCAGGGATCACGTTGCGGAGAGCTTCGCGAACGCGCATGAGCACGCATGAGGGGAATAGTAGTGGGGTTCGAAATACGGGCGAAAAACAGGGGAAGCGAGCGTCGTGGGTAAAAATCTGGTAACGCTGCCCTGAATCAGGCAATAGGCACGCATAAACGCATTGTTCCATAAGTGTCAGTAACGCATATATATAACTACTAGGATCCTGAAGTTAATCTTGTTTGAAGAATTGTTTTATAACATAACGTATACTATACAAGAGCAATGAATTAAGTAGTACTCTGTTATTTTCACAAAAAATATGTTAGAATATAAACAAGAAAGAGGCCATGATTATTATATGAATATTTACTCATAACCCTCACTATAAAAGTGTAATAAACATACGTAGCATCGACGTATGAGAAGGAAGATACTCAAGAAATGAAGATTTGAAAAATTCCGAATTGTTTCTTTGGAAGCGAATAAGCGACACATACAGTATATGTGCATAAACATGTGTTAAAAGTGTTTCCTATTCTGGCTAGTCATTTTATGCTAACGTTTCTTTATTTGAATATTCAAAGTACACAGATGTAACTGTGTCCTAAGAAGCAAACATGGTATCTTCGTGGTATTACATTATCTTACCGGTACTGTTATTCATTGGATTACTGCGAAAATGTCGTGAACGAACATGGGGAAGATGCAAAAATACAGACAGTTTGCAAGGTCGTGTGTTCATTGTAACGGGCGCTAATTCAGGTATTGGCAAGGAAGTAGTAAAAGAATTGGTCAAGAGAAAAGCTACGGTTATTCTAGCTTGTAGAAATTTACAAAATGCTCATAATACTATATCTGAAATACGTACTCGTATACCTACCGGAGAATTGGTAAACATATATGTCAATCTTTCCCTAGTTAAAATAGTAATTTATGAAATTCATTTATACATGAGAATTATTACACAGGTACCAATGGAATTAAATTTGGCATCATTTTCATCAATCAGAGAATTTGTTGCAGCAGTAATAAAAGATTTTGCTGAGGTACATGTATTAATCAATAACGCTGGAGTGTATGTTCCTTTCAAAGAACACGCTTTAACTGAAGATGGATATGAAATACATTTTGGAGTGAATCACTTAGGACACTTCTTACTTACAAATTTACTTTTGGAACATTTAAAACAAAATGCGCCCAGCAGGTATGTTGCAAAGTGAACTAGCTTTTTAATACAAATCTGTTATGTAATCGTTCTTGATTACAGGATTGTTATTGTAACATCCAAACTTTTTGAATCTGGAGTAATTGATTTCTCGAATTTAAATGGTGAAAAGGGATTGACAATCAAAGGACGTATGAATCCTGCTTATTGTAATTCAAAATTAGCCAACACCTATTTTGGTATTGAACTTGCAAAGCGATTAGAAAATACTGGAGTTAATGTTTACATGGTTTGTCCTGGCTTCACTTATACAGGACTTTTCAGAAACGTTAAAAGGAGTTGGTTTCATTACATTATGTTTTCCCCTGTTGCTCTGCTATTCTTACGTACTGCAAATCAGGTACATATTCAATTCTTCTGTGTTCATATTTGATATGCCCCTCTGTCTACCTTCCCTTTTATTGAACTTGTGTATCTATTTTTATTGCAGGGAGCACAGACTGTATTGCACTGTGCCACAG